TTCTCCTTCTAAACTGGAGCACCTGTTGTCACATTAATGGAGCTAGAACAGTCCAACCAGGCAAGTGATGGGAGGAACAAAATGGGAACTGACAACCTCTGAAAGTTGTCATAAAGACCCAGTGACAATCGTTCCTGATGTGCAACTATCCAGAGATGCTGCTAAGCATTTGAAACACACTACTGTTCATTTGCTATGGACTTCTGGTTGAGAATGTAAGGTTTGTCATGAGAATCCATTTTTTGGAAAGGTGGAAGATATGGTTATCTATGTTTCACAGGGGGATTAATAAGCATAATTCATTCAAAAATATTTTTAAATAAATTAGCAGATGCCACGATGCTTATTACTTTGGTTGAGGTTATTTAATAGAAATAGATGTTCTCGAAGGAAAACTGGTGACGGGCATATGAAAAGAGTATTCTGTCTCTTAGAGACCAAATGAGAGTCAGCAACCTTTCCTCTCTCCCAGACAGGACGGCGGTCTCCTCGAGGCTGGGCTTATTCTGTTAGTATATAGCAAATGGAGGCAGGGGAAAACAATTTTCTCCCCGTCTGAGGGTTCTCCCTACTTTCTGTGACATCTTTTCTTGTTATTCTGACCTCACTTGAGCTAAAGCATAATAATAATTTGCAGAGAGAGGCAACTGACTCCCCAAGGACAGGAGGGAATGACTTCAAACCATTTTAAAAAGTCACCGCTGGCTAATCGGGACACTATAACAGGCACCCCACAATGACACTAACCAATAAATACCTTCTTAGGCACAAGTGCCATTAAGAGATTGTCAATCCACATTCCTGGTCACTAAAATGTTAAACTAATATTAACTTGACCGTATATATTCTGCCTTTCCCAGAATGTGAACTTCCTCATGTCCTGAGATAAGGAATGGAGTCACCAGGAAGTGTTGCCAGGACAACTGGTAGATGAGTAGGGAAGTGAGGCAGTGCAGGCAGGAAGCTGGGCTGGGCGACCTTGTCAGGCACAGTTCCACGGAGGCTGACTTTGACTCAGTTCTGCCAGGGAACTATGAAGCGGAGATCAGTGCGCCTCGGATTTGTCCCCATTCCCCTGAAGGTGCAGGAGAGTCTGCTTTGTGTTCCCCTCTGTCGTGGTTAGGGACATCTCTGGAGACAGGGATTTCCACACGTTATTACTGCAAGCAGTCAAAACCGGTTCCAGCAATCTCAGGACAATTCCCATCAATGAGACACAGGTAGGCGACTGGAGAGAAACACACCAAGAAATCACAGGCACAGAAAGGATGCCTGCAGGCTGACATTGTACAGGGTCTCTTACTTCTATTATGCTGTTGAATTCCTGTGTCAAGCCTTAGACTCCAAAACTTTTAAAAACAGAATCTAGCATTATCTTCATTGGTCAGGTCCTTTGGCTGAGGTCACCCAAGTTGAAAATCATGGAGCTGGTATTTGAACCCAAGTCTGTGAGCCAAGGGCCCAAATTCTTAACCGTGTTTCCCTCTTGTTTCATAACAAATATATTGAGGGAATTTTAGACTTTAAGTGATTTGTTTTTTGATCCTAGAACAATTCACAATATGTGTACATATACTCATTATGAAAATCATGACTATTTTACTTTTTTCACATACCAGAGATAGTTAAAAATGGTAACGCTACATGCCTCAGGAGATTTAACCAGTTTACACACAAAATTTATCGATGACATTTTAATCTTTGCAGCGTGATAGCAAATTAAATCTGCCTTGTAGGGGAAGCTTCATATAAAGAACAAAATGAATATGAAATTATATACTCAGTTTTGAAAAGAAGGAAAGAATCTTTAAATTCAGTAGACGTTTTCCTTTATTCGTTGTTTATGAGGTTTTTTTTTAAGATTGGAGTTTGTAGCTATATCAAGCTATACTCTATAATTCACTTATTTAATTCCTGTCCTCTGCCATATAAACATAATTACTAAGAACAATCAATTTGTTCCATTTTGATAAAGGACTAAAATAAGAATAGCAGATCACACTGCATGGAATTTGAAGACTGCGGGGGATGTTTACTGTGATGCTACTGAAATCTCCCCTGGTTTCTAGAAGAAGAATAATTTCTGTTCCTTCTTCTTACTCCAGGGACTGAGGTTTGTTTATTTGCTGGGTGAGATCTGGTTTTCAAATAACATACTGCAGACATCTAACTGTATCCTGGGATGGGCATGGCAAATGCTCTGGAATTCAGGTCCTGTGGTCTGAGGACATTTTCATGAGATGACCCAGAACCCATCAGGCAGAGTCCTCCATCAGGGGTGGGGAGAGGGCACTACAGGTGGCATCTAGTTCCAAGGCCTGTAAACAAGAGGAACTGAATTGTCCTTCAAGGATCACATGAACGGGAAGAGGATCCCAAGTCTCAAAAGACCCCAGTGCTTACCCCCCCATCCATACTTGAGTTCCAGCCCTCGAGAGCACCCAGCTGAGGTGTGCTCAAGCTTGACCTACTGAAATTGTGAAATTAAAAATGCATGTTTCTAAATACTAAATTTATAGAAATTTGTTGCACAGTCATAAAGTCCTGCCACTGTCAACAACAGTTACAACATGTGATCATCTGTGGTCTAGGGAAATGGGGAAAACAGCAAAAGCTGAGACTCGACAAAGGACGCTTGCATGTCTACATTCTTTTTTAACACTTGCTCCCGACACAAAAATCCATCTGTTCAGTTAATGGAGGGATGGGAAAGACCCATGCAGGAGAGCTGGCTTGTCCCTTCTGGGTCATCCTAAACCAGCCAGCCCCCAAGGCAACCTGCTGGCTGACCCTAGATATTTAGGGGATCCAGGGAGCCCCAGCTCACATATGCTTAACACTAGGCTGACCTACAACTTCAAGAGAAATAAATGCCTATCTTCAAGGTCACTCTCTTTTGAGGTGCTCTGTTAGGCAATATTTGTGGCACTAGATCATTGCTATACTCATCCACTAATTAAAGCTGCAGGACACATTTAAGATTAAGTACATATATGATTGCCTATTTGCAACTATTTTTTTTAAATGAAAACACTTAAAAGCATAAAAGGAGAGACTGGGGAACTGGTGAGAGAGAAGAGCTAACCATTCACTATTAACTCTTGACAAAAAGAAATTATTTTCCAATAAAATTGAAAATACATTTTTAATTTTCTTTAGCATTTTACAGAGCACATTTAAGCAATAGCAAAAATAAAGGCTGCTTGCATTTTTGATATTAGTCTTTTCCAGAGGCTTTTTTTTCTTTCCTCCAAGGCCTCCAACACCATCACACTTTAGAGTTTCCCAGGGTGCTGGGGCGGGGAATGTTTTCCAGGCCCTGGATGGACAGATCGCCTATAGCAGAGTTCATCCAGCCCCTGCCTTCCATATGGTGTACCCATCACAGAACCCAGACACTCCCTGATAAAGTGGGACTCCCTACTGGGCCCTGCAACAGTGTTCCTCCCTGAAGAAGGGGGAGAGGGGCGCTGTGTGCCCAGGAGAGAGGCCAGAGGATGGGGCAGAAATAGAAAACAGATACTCTTTTAGTGGATCTTAAAGAAACTAGAAGAACTTTTCCATTCTATGGGCATAGGCCCTCATCTCGGAGGCCCAGCCCTCCAGAGGAGAGATGTTCTGGGCCAGGCGACATTAGGGGTGGCCTTCCTTTCAGAGGACAGATCTGTTCTTTTAGATCCTCACAAACTCAGCCCTGGGAATAATAGAGTACAGGAAGCATTATCATTCAGTTCTGATCCACTAAATGTCAGTAAACAAAATGCACTCAAAAGAACAATCTTTGGAGTGATTTTGTTTCCCATTTTGGAAAAATAAAATGATAGGATCTTTCTGCAGCCTTGTTATCAACTGGTTCACTCACAAGAAATACCTTGAAATGTTTCTTTTTCTAATCTGGCTACATGTAAGCATATTCAAACCTGCCTCTGTTTATCCAAGTCCCATGCATATTTCTTGTAAAATGTGCAGTGTCAGATGAAATGGGCCTAACGGCAGGGGTACAAGATGTAAAGTAACTTTGGCTCTCTTAATGCAGAAAAAAACTCCTTCTTTGGGGATGCTTCATAGGAACCCAGTCCTAAGGACTGGATCATCACATTACAGGGCAGACTCAGGGCGCCATCTGCTTCTGTTGGGTGGTCGACTTACTATGACAGGCTGAGAACAGTCCATGGATACATGGGGGTGAACTGACTCCAGAAGTCCTAGCAGCAGGAATCATTCAGGTTCTTGGGGGGTACTGCTTCCCTTGATAATCATTCACCCCCCAGGGACCAGCCTGCTGGGTCAAGACGCCAGGCGTCAGGAACAATCAGTGGCTTCCACTTCCCCTCTGACTTCTCAGTCATTTTTATCTGAGAATCATCCCATCTTGAAAATCTTCTTTCATCCTTAATCAGTTGGGGTTTCACTTCTGTGCACTTGTTTTTATTTTCTTTCCTCAATGTAATGTTGGATTCAAACAAATACTTATGCTCCTGCTTGACCTACGATAAATCTAAACTAGCTTCATTTCCTTCAAAATTTACTGAAATATGAAGTAAGCACAAAGAACATGGAGGGCAAGGATATTAGCCTTATAGTCACAAGCCTTATATTTTTTTCAGAATCCAGACTCAAATAGTGCTTGAAATGTAGAACTAATTCCAGGTTACGGATATCATTTAATCAGTGACCTTCACCGTCTGACTTAAAGACTAGCACAATCCTCTCTCCTTGTTTTATGGGACCAGTTCATCACGTGTTCATAAAAACCTCAGCTAGTTTTTCACTTGTGAGCTCACCAGACTGAGTCCAAGCTTCTACCCAGCTTTGTTGAGTATCAGTCAAAACGACAGTGATTTTTTTATAAAACAAACTTCTATCTTTGTTCAGAGGAAAAAAAAGTAAACTACTTCAAAATGAAAGATTTTAAAATCACCTATTAGCTATAATATACTTCTACCTCTAAATATAGTTCAAAGCTTCATAGCATAAAACAAAACAGAAAGAAAGGCAGCTTGTCAAGTTTAGAAAATAATCTTCAGCTTTCAATAGAAAATAGACTTCATTTACTCTTAGAACAAAAGCAATAACTGTACTTAAATTTTGATATGATTAGGTAATTGCTGCATATAAGTAGTTTAAAAAATAGCATACCTCACACAGCAAGAATGATGTTATGATTTTAGGGTGTATGGTCTTCATTTTTAAAAACTACTATTTGCATTGGACCCAGTGAATGTATAAATTGCAGTATCTATCAGTCACCCCTAAATCATAAAATTTCTCCTGTCTCTCTTGAAAATCTCAAAATATCACAGCAGGAACATAATCAAACCGAACAGTCATATTTGCAATATGCAATTTAACTGTAATGATACACATAAGCATTTCTTTGTCACAAAGTAGTTTCCCTGAGACATTGTATCTTCCAATCAATATGAAAAACAGCATTCCGGGGGAAGCATACTGTTAGCAACATATTTCAATTGAAAAAATAATCTCTCCAAAACTAGAACATTTCCATCAAAGGATACAATCGGAAAGATATCATAAAGGTTTATATAAAACACATATTATGATCACATTTAGTTATAGAGCATGAAGACTTTTGCCTTGGTGGGATTTCCTCCCCCAAAACCAAGGTCTTTATAGGCAAGCACTGAGCCTCCCTTGCTAAGGAGCTTCATAGCTCCATCTCCAGGCTGTTGAAGAGCTGTCCTGCCCTGCTTCCTTTTACCTTACCTTTCTAGTTGAATTTTGTGCTCATGAATATACACCATAAGAAAACTAAAAAACAAACCATGAAAGCAGCTTGAAAAGAAGTTTTTCCCACCTTCAGATAGAAGCTGAAGCCATTTCTAAAGGAATCCAGCATATTTACCATCCCCAACAAGAGAAATAGCAACAAACATATTTTGCAATTCAGTAAATTAAATAGGGGGATGTGCATACTATGCATATTAATACTGATAGAATGGATTAAACAATGCTATTGCTATCATGATCTTGCATGCTAATTTATGATTAATTGATAATATTGTTGGAATTGCACATAATCAACCAGTCGTGTATTTGTTTTTGAACAAAATTCATAGTATTTAATGAGTCATAGACGGCACTTGTAGGAAGACCTTAACGCCTAACCATGTCCATCATCGTGTAAACTTCATAACAGTGCTTCTTACTTTAAAATGCCAAAATAACCCATGCACACTGACAGAACCACACAAACACCAGCAGCATTTCTCTGGGAGGTTTCTGAAATTTATCCACGAGCCCTGGGTCTACTGTCCATGTTACTATTCTCCAAAGAACTTCAATTAAATATCACACGTTTGGAAGAAGACAAAGCTAACAACCAGTAAGCACACGTCTCCTGCAGTCACTTCCCTGAGAATGGAACATCTTGCTTTTAAAAAAGCAAATTAAAGTTTCAAGTAGATATATGCAGATAGAGTTGGTAGATCAAAACATAATTAACTGAAGTATTTATGTATCAAAAGTGATCTGAAGAGACTAATTTACATTCTGTCCCATACAAATATCCAGTGACTGAGAAGTAGATGAATTCACAAGGATCTTTGCACAACAAATAATTTATAATTATACAGAAAAAAAAGGGGAGAAAGAGAAAGCTTTAAAATGCAAATAAGAAAAGATTATGAGGCCAATAAAGTTCAAGTAACAACTTCTTTGCACTAAAAGACAGTTCAAATAGCCCAAACAAAATGATCATTTTTGTTTTATTATGAAGGAAGCATTCCCTTTTTTGAAAGCCTGAAACTGAGGGCTTTGGAAAAGTTAACTTCACTGTTGGGATGTGACTGCATGAACAAAATAGCACCTGGCTGGTGCCTAACTTCCCTTAGAGGGTGGCTTTGCACTGGAAGAACATTTGCATTGGTGGCTTAAGGGAGATTTCAAGTAGAGCACATTCATTATTTTGGCAAAAGAATGCATCTACCAGCAGAGTTAATGGGTCTACAGGTGCTGTTGAAAAGGACAACCTTTTGCTTACTTTTGCTAATTCTTACTGACTTCCAGAACAATAATGTCATTTATTTGCTCCTCAGGAGTTAGCTAAAAACATTTTGTTTCCATTCTGGTCAATAAGATCAACTGCCCGCATTGGAAAGCACCTTCCAACAAATTATTTTTCTTTTCTCACTAAGGTGTGCTCTCTGAATATTATTCTTTTCTAAACTTTATTTGCTATATGTTGCCATTTGAGAAAGAACTTGATTGTTCTAACTTTCACCCCATGGCTTTATCTCAATTAAAGTGTGTGCTCCTCTGGGCCTGTGCCTTCTACATAATGAGGAAAAGTGCTCATCCCACAGATGAAAAGATATAAACATAGTAGTGCAGATTCAAATTCAGTTGGGAATGGGAATAGAATTTTGCCTGTGTAAATCAACAAAATCACAACCATTTTGATTTCACATGTAAACATCACAAATGGATGGAATTGGTTTGAAAGCTGAAACTAAAAATTTTCATTACTGTGTTTGCATCTGTTTTTTAAAATTACAGTCTATTTGTCATCATTAATTTGGCTTAAAAACAAAGATGCATTGGCAATCTTCAAAGACTAAAAGGCATTAGTTCAAGGGAATTTGAATATCATTTAAATATTAAACATACCAATTGCAGAAATAGTATGGATTCACAATGAGATTTTTTTCCATACCATTCAAAAAGTTAGTGTTTCACCCACTGTAAATACATTGAATTAAATTTTATTCAATCATGTTAAAAATATTCTAATGTAAATAAAGATAACAGGACTTAGTGAGATGCAAATAAAAAGCATACTTTCAGCTTTCAGATTACTAATTATATAGAACTAGATGTTCTTTAAGTAGTTAGAAATGCAGTCTGATTTGGCAATAAGGGAATTTCCTGATATCATCCCGGTGATAAGAAATCAATTAAACAGATTTTAGCCATTTAAGAATCTAGAAAATTGACATCATAAATTTTCCATCCATAGGAGATGGAGATGGCATCTGATTTTCCTTTTTTTTTTTTTTAAGGACATTTCAGTGACTAAAGAAGGATGTCATATTTTATTATGTAGCTTATTTTCATTTCCAATTCCCAAACAATAAAAATTTTGAAGCAATATAGGTCATTTTAGTAAGGAGGGTCTTAAGTTAAGGAATATTGCATCTTTCATAGATTCTATAAACTCTTCAAGGTGCTCTAAAAACACTATAAGTTTGATTAGCAGCAAAGCCTTAGCCTAATCAAAACCTCATTGCTCCCTCATATATCTATGTACTTATATATACACATATATATACACTGTACATCAATATATCATATCAGTCTAACCTAAATCTGACCATTTGACAGCTATTCCCAGAGTCTGTGCAAGGTTACAAATACTGTCTACACTGGATCATGGTTCAAGCCCACTAGCACCCAAGTGGTTAAGATGGAACCAATCCTTTCATTAAAACAAACCAAAACATTTCAACCACATATTTTGAATTACTTTTAAGATTAAAAAAAAAAACTTGGGGAATACAATGAATTACCCAATATATTATTATTCCAGTTCCTATAATTTTCTTTATAACTATTTACATGGAATATTTACATGGAAGGCTGGCTGTCTTTAAACACAGTTTCAGCAAACTAAGTATAAAATATTCCTTTGAAAAATATGACAAGGTGCTTGTTCTTTTTTTTTTTAACTTGGAGGAAAGGTCTGTGAAATGGGTTTTCTTCTCCAGATGAATTCTGCAGCATTTTCTTCCAGGAGCACATTGAGAGCCCCGTCACCCTGTGGGTAATGCCACCTGGGAATGGAGCTGCCAAGCAATGCAGTTGTCAGGGAGCCGGACACCAGGTCTCCAGAGAGAGGTCCTGTGGGCACAGTGGCATCATGGTCTTTTCTCTTCCACACTCTTCTAGCAGCGCCCAATCCTTGGGCATCGCTGGCTGAAGTCCAGACTTGAACTTCACTGGGAAAACCAAGTCCATTCAAAACGCAGCATGTTCATCTTTTGGTCGGGTGATTCTTGGCCCCCCATGGGTAGGAGTGGTACCTAGAAGATTCAGAAGTGGAAAGAGTTCTCTATAGTCTGACATTTTATTTTTTTTTTAAAGATTTATTTTATTTATACAAGAGCTGGGGTAGAGGCCAGATGCGCGGGATGGTGAGAGAATTCACCAGAGACAGAGCAGGGAGCAGAACAGGCAGATTGACTGAAATACACTGCTGAAGGGAGCAGCGGGTGAGACAGGAGAGGTCTGCCACGCCATGTGGGATTCTCGCCGGCCGGCTGGGATCGAACCCACTCTGCGGTGGCTGCGGACAGCTTCACAGTGCAGCGCTCAACCACCTGCACCACCAGGGAGGCCCTATAGTCTGAAGTTTTAGTTCATATATTCAATTTCACAAGCAGTGACTCAGGCATATAAGTAAATAATACACAGTGAATTAAAAGGGGATTCTAAATGAAGTAGGATGGGGACATTTTTAGAAAGCTGCCTTTGGCTGAAATTCAGAGCTAAAGGGGTCTTTTTCAAATCATTAACTAATTGGGTCTGATAACCCTTTATGGTTGAAAAGTAAACACCCATTCAAAGTAGTTTACATAGTTAAATCCCTGTGTACTTTAAAATATCTACTTCATCCTTCATGGGGTAGGGAGAGCAATACAAGTTGGCTCAAAGTAGATTTCTTTTTATCTTATATATTGATAACTTCTCAAGACATATTCCATTGTTAAAAAATAAAATGTATGTACCTATAAGCACATAGATGATATGTCATCTATCACTTACACAACTCAAACTGTTTTATTCTCGCAATGAATACAACTAAGGCATACTTAGGGATCTATCCCTCTGGTAAGAAGCTAAATGTTTGCATGTAAAATAAAATAATGCATACACATGATCAAAAACAGAAATTGCTTTGGGCTGGCCAACTTTGTTTGACCTTGGTTCATTTTCTTCACGCTGTTTTCTTTCTCTCAACTCAGTCCCACCACCCCTTCCAAGAAGCCCAGAAACAAGGAATCCCACATATTGGTTAGGGCTCCTGCCTGCTGCTTTTGTTTCTGAAACAATTTTCTTTTTCTAATGCAACATCTTATGCCTGGGACAATCTTCCTAACCAACTGCCCAAGCAGTCTCTCCATCATTTAAGCAGCTCCAGAAATCTTTCCCAGCTATAGACAATCACTGGATAATGGCTTTATTCCAAGACTTTCAGTTTGAAAATGGCATCTACCTAAATATAAACAAAACTCTCTGATCTGAGCTGAAAATGTGCCATATCTTAGCTTAATGCTCTGGTTGCTATCTGGATGTTTTGTAGACAGAGGCAGGTGTAAGTTTGAACTGGTAGTCTCAGGTTGTAGACTTGAATAACGTATGGTTTCTATGTAAATCTCTCGGTGTGATGCTTTAGCAATAACATTTCTTAACATTTGCGATGAGGATGATGAAAGTAAGAACAAGAGCTGATCTGGGTAGATATTGGTGGAGGAGTTAAATTGTTTCACATTTCTAACCATATTACTTGGGCAGCTTTTCTCAACTTACTGATCCACATAAAAGAATAAGTAAACACTGGGGTAAACAAAGTCAATAGATTTCTTTCTTACAGCACATCTCAGAATCTTCCATGTGTTAATGTGTATTGACATTTTCCAAAAATGGACAATTGCAATTCAGAGTGTCCCAAAATATTTGCCATTAAACTTTATTTTTCAGAAGAGCATGTTTTAATTTAGTCTCTAATAATATTTACTCCTCTTATGACACCTATTTGGGCAAGACCTCTTTATTCAGCCTAAGTATCTCTATATGTCCTGTGTATTTAGCATCCTCTATGCCTTGACTGTGGAAAAATCGTGGCTGGCACAGCTGACCTGATTCATACTTGTGGGGCACTATGTATTTCCAGCTTATGAACTATTAGTGCTTCTAAAGAGATCCTGGCTTATTTCTTGGGAATTAATTTGGAAATGAATGCCTTTAAGCACAACTAAGGGTTTTTTTTTAATGAGTAAACTGTGAAGAATCTTTTTCCCAAGATATTTTCTATCACTGCTGTTAGAAATTAACAAAGTTGTATCCTGGCTACACAGATACTTTTAAATAGGTGAGTCAGTTAATTTGAAGCATTTTAAGAAAATGTCATGTATATATCCATCACATGTTGCTGGAATGTGATTGTTTAAACCATACTTTCATATTCTATTTGTAATTCCAAATATAATTGTGAACAGGTTTTTGCCTTCACTAATAAGTATCTCATTTTCTGTTTATCATAATAAGAGTTGCAATGTCTTTTAATATGACTTTGGAAGTAGATGTTTGATTTTTAAAAAACCTGATTATAGTAGAACTGAAAAAGAAAATCATAAATTTCAAAATAAGACCAAAATTATTACTTTTTAAAAAAACGGACAAATAAGAGCTCTTGTAAGAGCTTCCCTAAGTTCCTGTTTTTTCATTGCTATTAGTTGATTTTCTGCAAAAATGTGAAAACATTCATTGCCCATGATCTTTAGTCTGAGAAAATGAAGATTAAAAAAAAAAAAAAAGACAAGCATGATCTCTGCCCCCACAGCAAGGCACCAGAGGTAATAAGAGGGTAAGCGTCAGGATAGAGACATTCATACTGTCCATGGAAGGCTGAATGTGCTCAGCCTGAGGGCAGAAAATGAACATTCAAAATCTCTCCCAAGATGGTGGGAGGAGAGTGACTATGGAGATGTTGATTTCTATTAACAGTATACCTTTGTATACCTTGGAAAATGAAAATTACTCATCACTTCTCTGCAGTTACAAATCACAACAGAACTAAATTTACAAACGTAGTATTTTGGAAATATATTATCAAGCCAAAAGAGCAAGCAGCTGAATAATCCTACGTGTGATTCATAAGAACAACTCAGACAAAGGAAAAGGGAAAAAAAAATAATGCTGGAGACTGAATTAACCTCAAAAAAGAATCTAATTTTCATATCATGACCTTACCTTACCAGGATGATGCTGAGACCACTTTCTTTTAGCATGGCTGGTAGGTATGTTTGGGAAAGATTTCTACAGTAATTTAAATAGTATTCACAAGATAGTTCCCCTCGCTGGAATGGGAGGGCTCTCTATCAGGCATAGATGGAGAATTCCAGAGAACCATACTTCCTAAAGCAGCTCTGAGCCACATAGAAAGTACGAGTGGTTACTTATAATCAATTGATAATTCGTTTATGAATGGGTTCCTTGGAAAAGTCGAGTACAGCTCATGTAATGCACACTGCTGGTGTCCATGTTCCCTCATCCAGAAATACCACTTCAAGGCATTCTAGCCTGACTTCCAACTACATTTCTTTCCCCACAGTTACTAGCATTCCCTGGACAGAATCCTCCAACAATGGCTGATGGGAACTGGAGCACCCATACTCGTTGGCAACTTGGGATAACTGAGGCACCTGCTCTGCCCTGGTTCTCATGCACCCCCAGAGAGATCAGGCTCCAGCCACCCATGATAGTAAGTTGTTAGAAAATGAAATCTTTGAGCTGAGGCGAACCCTGCAGGATCCGCCGCGGCGGTGAGCGAACGGCTCCGGGCGCCATTAGAGAAGAACAAAGACCCCGGGAGACACGCACACAGCCCGGGCTGCCGGTAAGCCTGCGCGGGAAAGCGGCGCGCTCGGGGAGCTTGAAAAGCAAGTGCAGACCGGAATCGCGGCTGCCCAGGTCCCCGCGCCTGCGACCTAGGCTTGCGGGGAGACGACCTAGGCTTGCGGGGAGCCGCACGGAGGTCCTCACTGAGGTGAAGGTCCCTCCCTGAGTGAGCAGGAACCAGGCACCCAGGCACGGGAGCTGTGCAAAAGGCGCCATTCCCGCGCCACTGAACTGGGCTACAGCCCGCGTCCTGGAACTGAGGGCTTTGAACTGAGACCCGGGGCACGAAAATTCGGGGCGTGGTTTCTCCACGACGGTGGGGCACAGGCAGACACAGCACCCCAAAGCTGTTGAGGTGTACCCTACCATTCCCGCTCTGTTCTCTGTCCCACGGGGTGGGGGGAGGCGAAAAACAGCCCCCCAAGGACAATAGGAGAGATCTCTGGCGCCACCTAGCGACCAGGAAAAAAAAAAGTCACTAACACCCTATAAAACAGGACATTTCTTAAGACTGCTTGAAAAGGGCAGAAGGTTTCTGGAGGACCCAGTGGCCAGCCGGGAAGTTATTCCACGCCAGGCCCCTTCCGACCAGCAGTCTGAGCCCACAGAGGGAGCAGGCACCCACGTCTGGGGCAGACTGGGTGCGCAGAAGAGTGTGCCTGAAACCGGAGGCACAGGGACTGCATCCCGCTTCGCCATTTGAGAACAGGGACATTTCTTCAGTAAAACTGCCTAAAACCAGCAGAAAGCTCCCCCAGAAGACAGAGATGGCTCCTGGAAGAGCCAGAGGGGAGCGGAGAAGTTCACCCAAGATGTCAGTCAGTCCGAGCAACACAGTGTCCCAACGCATACGACAAATTAGAAAACAGACAGTAGGGAGTAGAAGAACCACACGCAACCTAAAAACTCCTCAGGAAAGAAGCACACCACAAAAAGAAAACCACTCCCCAGATTGCAACGACAGCAACTTGGAAGAACTTCTGAGCCTTCCAGAAAGAGAATTTAAAATTGCCATGATTAAAAAAGTGATAGATCAGAAGAAGGAAATTGAGTCCCTAAAGAGGGAAGTAAGAGAAATGCAGGAGATCAAAGAATTAATGGAGGAACTAAAGAACTCTGGGAAAAGCAATGAAAGCAGAATAGATGAAATGGAAGAACGAATAAGTAATCTTGAAGACACAGAAATAAAAAGAACCAAAACAGAAAAGGAAAGAGAAGTACGAAGGAAAAAGAATGAAGAAAGACTTCGGGAACTATCTGACTCCATGAGGAAAGGAAATATAAGAGTTATCGGAATTCCAGAAGGAGAGGAGAGAGATGTAGGAACAGAGAAAATATTCATGGATATAATTGAAGAGAACTTCCCAAATGAGAAGAAGGAGCTGAAAATTGATATACAAGA